ACCATCCCATTTTTACCTCCATCTTTATCAAATACTGAAACAAGAGCGATGGCGGTTCCAATGGACGCATCCTCTTTCACAGAGTTCAACAGTGATGTGACTGAAATTTCAGGGGCATTGTCATTGACGTCTAAAACTTCAATCAATAATTTGGCATGTGAGGTTAGAGGAGAAGAAGCTCCATCACTGGCTTGTACTCGAATCTCAAAAGCATTATTCTCTTCAAAGTCGATATTCTTTTTATTAGTTAAGGTCCCTGTTCTTCCATCTATAACAAACGGATCTGTCTGTTTCCCCTGATCTATTTCCATGAAAGAATATGATATTTGTCCGTTCTGACCTGCATCTAAATCAGTGGCATTTAATGTTATTATTGACGTGCCTAGCTTAACATTCTCATACACAGTGGCTTTGTACAGCGTTTGACTGAAAACAGGAGGATTGTCGTTTGCATCTAACACATTTACTATAATTGTCATAGTTCCTGATTTAGCAGGTGTTCCTCCATCAACGGCAGTCAGTGTGAGTCGAATCACGGATTGTTTTTCTCTGTCTAAAACTTTCTGAAGCACCAATTCAGGAGTTATACTTTCTCCTTTATGTGAAGCCAGAGAGAAATGCTCATTTTGACTAAGCTTGTAGGTATTTACTGCATTTTTTCCAACGTCTGCATCACGGGCTCGTTTCAATAGAAATTTAGCTCCTGCTGCTGTGCTCTCTGTTATGTTAATTGTCTGGGACGTGCTGAGAAATGAAGGTGAATTATCATTTACATCTAGTATAGAAATTTCAATACGGTACAGTTTCAGTGGGTTATTGATAACTGCCTCAACGCTAAGTGAACATGTGGGATCATTACCGCAGAGCTCCTCTCGGTCTATTCTTTCATTCACGTAGAGCGCTCCAGTCTTTAGATTTACCTCGAAATATTTCCTCTTCGATCCAGCAACGATCTGAAACATGCGAGACTCCAAATCCTGGACATTGATGTTGAGATCTTTAGCGATATTTCCGACAACAGTCCCGACATTTGCCTCCTCTGAGACGGAATAAGAGAGCTGCCCAGAAACCGCTTCCCAGTAACAATCCAGCAGCACGAACAAGAGATAAATCCACACAGAGCTCGATCTATCCAGTAAATGCATCATGACAAACGCGGAGAAAACGCATGTGTACAAATATGGAAAATCTCAGCAAGCACGAAATCCAAGATCAGTGAGCAGTTACTCCAACGAAATAGTTCGACATGCTCGCAGCGAAGCAAGACAACCGTTCTTTGTCGCCCGACGTTTCTTTGTAACAAAGCCCGCAGATGCATCATCCGCTGAATCTGGGAGGAGTCCTAAGTTACCAAATAGACCGTCGAAATGTGATGGTCTGCAGTGTCCTCATGTGGACATCTGTCATAACTACATGCCACGTCAGCTATCGTACCATTGAAAAGCAATACTGTACATTATCAGTATATCAAAGCAACACCAGAGGAATGCAAATCTTAAGGTAAAAAACTGAGAATAACAAAAAAATATTTATGTCAAGGACAACTGAAATTTTACTAAACCTGTGCAAGGACTAAATATAGACAGATATCGAACACATTTTTCCACCTGTAATACACTGGTAAATAGTTACTAGATATATGCATTTTTTTTTTTTTTAAAAAAACGTATTTTTTAAATAATAACAAACACTTCATTTAATTGCGGTTTTGTTCTGCGGGATTTAAGAAAAGGACATGTTCCTAATGTTGAGTTTAGCACCGCGGATAGCGACCCTCGCATTAGAAGAACAATTAACAGTGATTAGCAAATAAGAAAAAACAATCGGCCACAATTCACAGCAAGCTACAGTCCATAATATCTGCCTTAAAACTTAAGGTCCTTGAATGTTTCTTCTTGTTGTTTCTTACTTCATAGTTCAACAGGAGATGCTGTGTAAATGCAATGCAAAGCACTCCAGACAGCAACATGACACAAACAACCTAAATACAACCGCGTCATGCCATGCCCCTTTCTCCATATAAAAATTGTAGCAGTGATCACTTATTTTAACAATTGTCTTACCTTTTCTTTGTTGGGTAAAGTCTGAGTCCTGGTAAAAGTGTCTCCTCCATTAATACTGATCAGTTCACCATCTACAGGTGGAAACGGTGCAGGGAAAACCACTACGTCACTCTTGAGCGTGTC